GGGGCTGGCTCCCCCCGCTGCCGGGAGGTTTCTGGGCACCCTCTTTCTCGGCGTGCTGCGGGCGGCAGGAGGCTGCTGTGCGGGATGAGCCCCGCGTTCCAGCAGCTCGGACGCGCCTCTGCTCCGTCGGTGGGGGCTGCTTTCAACAGCCCGAGCTATTTCTGTCCACGATCACAATCAATACAGCAAGCGAGAGGGTTTTTACTTTCCACTCCAAATACTCTCTCCATCCTGTTTCCTCCCAGTTCACACGACGGACTGGGGTGCGCTCCAGCAAGGAGGCCCACGAAGCCGTCTCCTCCTCCTCCTCACTGCCGATGCAGCCCCCCACTCCTGCTCCTGCCCCAGTCCCATACAACCCTGACCGGCCCTTCTAATCCACTGCAATCCAAGGGATGGGGTTGGCTTGGGGGAGGGTGAGAGGAGGGCATCGCACATGTGCATGTGTGCACACACACTCACACACACACAAGAAAACACTTCCAGGGCCAGAGAAAAAAATAAAACTAGGTCTTTGGAAGACACAGCGGCTCATGTAATCCCAGGTTCTGCTGGGCTGCCTCCACACAGCGATGGGGGGACGGGCCGAGGGGAGCCGACTGCAGTCTATTAAACTTCCTTTGAGAATCTGCCAGGCTGACAACAGCTGGAGGGAATTAACATTTCAGGTCCACCAGCTCCTCTCCTCACTTTCACCCTTCCCCAAAAACCAACTTGAGGCCACCACCCCAGCAGCATCACTTTTTCCCACTCCTTGGCGTCCGACAGTATCTGGTCCAAGCTGATTTCTTCCTTTAATCCTGAACCTGCCAGAAGCGTGAGCATCTGCTGAAGGAAAAACCCCAGCACCCGTGCCAGCACAAGCCCCCGGCTTGGGTCAGTGGTGTCCTGGAGGGCTGGGACCGAGGTGGAGGATCACAACGGCGTGTTGAGGTGGCTTCAAGCCGTGTTGCACCTCTCAGCCTCCTGCACAAGAGGAGGAAGACGAAAAAAAAATCCCCAGGCTGCCAGCTGGTAGCACTGCGGGCAGCCTGCTCGGAGCAGCCTGTCCACTGCTTGTGGGGACCCCCCGTCCCGGCGAGGGGGTGGTGCCAGCCTGGCACCCCGGCCCCTTCGCTCTGTGCAGCGGGAGCTTGGCAGGAGCCGGGTCGGGGAGAGCAGGGTGGGACGGCTCCATGCTGCTGTCGCCAGCGGAGATTACACAGAAAGTTATCGTGTCTCGAGGGAAGGGGGGGGTTGCAGAAGCTGTCTGAGCTCGGCAATAGCTGAAGTAATGCAGAATTGGCAAATGCC